GTGATATCTTTTATTCGACCAATTAAATAATTGGAAAAAAATGTTCTTTGCAAGCTTTTGTGCACAAACACTTTTCTTCAGGCATGGAGAGAGTCTGTAAATGAATTGTGTGCCATGGGTTAGCATTTTCATGGACCTGCATTTTGTATATTGTATTCTACCCAGGAGAGGACACCAATTTACCGACAGGCTCTCTCTATGCCTGAAGAAAGGTGTTTGTCCCCAAAAGCTTGCAAAGAACAATTTTTCCAGCTATTTAATTGGTCTAATAAAAGATATGACATCTACCCAAAGAACCTTTTCTGAAATATATTGCTGTGCATTGTGCCTCTTGCTGGCCTTTAGGGACTTTTCTACTGAAATACAAGGGCTGTAATGAGAAGAGGCATGCAGCTGGTAATACAGGCCTTATGAATATCAGCTGGAGGAAGGGCATCCTGTGAGCCTGGGGATGGCAAAAGTTGATGGCATCCTTAGCCAGAACAGGAGGGGAGCTCTGAGCTTGGGGTGAACCTGATAGGGGAAGCAGTGGGTCTCAGGAGGTGCAGAGCTCAGTAGAACCAGGAGGGGTGCTCTGCCTGCCTGGTGGGTTTTATAAGCGGCTGGGGAAGTTGTGAGTAAGAGGAGGAGCAACCTGTGAGGATAGGACTGAGGGCAAGTGTCATGGAGTTAGTGAACATTGGGAGAGGACAGCAGGATAGAAGGTAGTTAGGGCAGAGAGAAAAGAGTAAAGGACTGACAGAGGACTATATACTGTTTTGAGTCCTGTGGAGTTGTGTATCTGTGGTGTTCATTCTGAAGTGGTTCGTGGTTAAAGATAAAAGAACAACCAACCATTTTTCTTTTTACTTTCGTGCCCAGGTCATGGCACTACCCAGTGATTGCCTGCTCCACTCCTGACCGGGATCCCACTTTCTTTCATTTGAAAACACAGTGAACCTTTCATGGCTCAAGCAGAGTCCTCTAAAGCAGTGTTTTTCAACCTTTTAAGTATCAAGTACCCCCTAACTTCTGAAAATTTTAATAAGTACCCCAACACTCAATTTTCCAGGGGATTTTATACTTACAGAGTAATGTGTGCTATATGTTGGAAGAAGGGCTGCTTATATACGGCCATGATATGACAGACGTCTGATCTGGTGTGGGTAGGGTTGCTACCTTTTACACCAGGGGTGCTCAAGAATGTACCTGGGCTAGAGGTGATGTTGGCCAAAGGTAGGAGGACTGAGCCCAATGTCATGGAAAACGTGACACACCAAATTATTGCTGGGGAATTTAAAGCGCCACGCAATGTGCTGTGCACCAAATTTTTTGCCATAGTTTTGAGAGGAAGAAGGGGTGAGAGAGAGAGGGAAAGAGGGCGAGAGAGAGAGACAGAGGGAAAGAGGGCAAGAGAGTGAGAGACAGGCAAGGATATAGGGTGAAAGAGAGAGTGAGACGGAAGCAGGGAGGGTGAAGGGAGAGAGGGAATGGGGGAGGAGAGAGGGGATAGGTACCAACCATAATTGTAGTGCAGGCAGGTGGTGTTGGCTGCTTCCGGGGCTGCTGCAGCAGGGGTTGGGGTGATGGGGCGAAGCAGAGGCCCATGGTGTGGTGAGGTAAGTCTGTAGGGCAGGGGTCGGCAACCCCTGGGGCATGCGTGCTGAACATGGCATGCGAGGCCATTTTGCTTGGCGCAGTAAGTCTGTAGGGCAGGGGTCAGCAACCCCTGGAACATGCGTGCCAAGCATGGCACGCAAGGCCATTTTGCTTGGCACGCTACCGCCAGCCCGGACTCTAGGCAGGTGCTGCCAGCCATGGAGCCGGAGCTGTTCCCAGCAGGTGGCTGGGAGGCTGCAAGCCCTGCTGCAAGCATCCCAGGCTCTGTGGCTGGCAGCAGCTAGCCAGATCCTGGGCTGGCTGCAGCCAGGAGGCTGCAAAGGAGCTGCTCCAGGCTTCAGCAGCCTGTGGCTCCGAGCAGATGGTGTGGGGCGGGGCCCTGAGGTAGCGCAGCCCAGAAAAACCCTGTGCCGCCACCGGCACCGCTTGTATCCAGCCTAGGCTCTGGGGCAGCTACAGCAAGCAGGCTACAAACAGCTGCACCCGGGTCCACAGCACCAGCATCACCTCCATGCTGGTGGCGACTGCACGCGCGCCTCAGAGCACAGAGCGGCCTATCCTGCCCTACAGGCAGGATCTGGCGGCAGCACAGGGCTTTTCCCTGTGTACGGCGGCAGTGGTGCTGGGGGGGCAGGCAGCAGCCCCCCTCGCATTACTGCAGCCTGCCCCGAGCACCAGGAAGAACCTGGTGCCACCGCCAGCCCTCCTGCCCGCAGTGAACTGGGCCCTGGGCGGGCCAGGTCGTGGCGCCAATCCCCACAGTGCAGGAGGGAGCGGGGCAGCGCCCTGTACCTCCCGCACTCTGGGGGTCTCGGTCTGCCCCCCCCAACCCCCAAAGCCCAGGCAGGATAAAAAAGAAAGAAAACTTATCTGCCTGTCGGCAGGGAGTACGCGGGTATCTGTGTGCCTGTCCTCCCCCTCCTGCAGCAGCCTTTGGCCAGCTTGGGGGTTGGGGGTGAGCAGCTGGATGTGAACCCGGCAGCGGCAGGGGGAGCGGCGGTGCTCCCTTGCTGTGGGGGTTTTCCGTGCCCACATACCCCCTGCCTGTGTCTCGCGCACCCCCAGGGGTACATGAACCACAGGTTGAGAAGCTATGCTCTAAAGAAGGACACCACCATTAGGCAGGCAGTCTTCACAAAACAGCGAACTTTATTTTTAACTGAAAATAATACATTTTGTTTCATTTCCAGGCTGTATGACATATGTAGGTAGTCTCAGTGATGGGGGTTGATTCTCTGACCAGATGGTTAGTTACCAACCCACATGCCCTCAGTAGCCAAGGGGCAGAACTTGCATAGAGATTTGGACCCATTATCCAGGCATACAGACCCATCCCTCCCCTGAACCTGAAACAAGATATCCCTCCTTTGAACTGTAGCTATGAATAAGTAAGGTTAAATACATTACTTTTATACCAAACACAAGACTTGAAAAAATATATATTCCAGCCACACAAGAAGAGTTCTAGCGTAAGAGGTATTACAGATCTCATCTAAGTATTTATTAAGCCCTAATACTGAACCAACATGAAAGTAAAATACCATCACCAGCCACTTCAGAGTCAGAAGACCCTATACCTATGTACAGTAAAAAAATAATAGATGAAGTTGCTTTTGGCATGTGAGTACTGTACATTTCCCAGTACACTAACGTGTGAGTCAGTGCCCAAAAACACTTGGTGTAAGGAAACTCAAAATATAAATGGCTTCTAAAATCTCTAGTCAGTAGGCTTCTTTCATCAAAGCAGTGCTTCCTCCCACACCTGAGTTACCTCACTCAGATCTACTATGATGCACTTTTCATGGAAAGAAGGATGGGAGAGAGCTTACATTAAAAAGAGCCACCAGACTCCACAACCCCTTTCCAGCACATGTAATAAAAAGAGACCAAAAGGCCAGCTGCTTTTTCTTCTGACTGTAAGTTAGAACTCTGTCTTCTTGAAGTAATAACAAGACTTCTGGGCTTTAGCTTTAAGACTTCCCTTATTTCTGCTCCACCTTTAAGACCAGATTAGTTTCACAGGTTGGAGCTCCATCTCTTACCTTTTTTTCCTCAGGTGCCAATCCTAAGGCCTTAAGTCATTATAGCTTGATCTCCTATTCACTCCCAGTGGTAGCCTGCTGCACTGTACAACTATATAGTGCAGGAGCAACCATGGCCCTGACCCCATAATGCTAGGCCTAATACAAGCGAAAGGGCTGATTCTTGTCGCCTAAGTGCCTGCACGCTAAGACCACAAACCAGTGGCCAGCAGGGAGAACACAAGGTAGCAGCATGATGATGGTTAGCAGTGGGGATAGGAAACCAGCTCTTTAGTGGATCATGTCGTTAAATAGACTTCATGGCAGAAAAACTTAAGTGGCATTGTAACACCACATTCATGCCAGTGTAACTGTTTTGAATGGGCCCACCTCTTTCATTCCAAGCCACATTTTAGAATTTCCTTGTTGCATTTTTTCCCTCAGTTTTTTTCCATTCTTGTTTATTCCTCTCTGCACTGCACTCAGTCTGACAAATATGATATGAACACAATATTGCAGTCAAATCTCTAGGTTTTAAGCTCAAGACCTTCGTGACAGATGGTTCCACAGTGTCACAGAGTCAAACCGGTTAAACTAGTACACCTCATTTTAAGTGGATGGGGATGCACCAGTGTAGCTGAGACTGAAATCTAAGCACTTCCCTCTTCTTAATAATGTTAAGCATTTTCTCACAGCAAATCTGAGTTTAATGGTCATGCCTTTTGATGTGTCTGATTCGTACAACCATGCAGGGGCGGATCCAAGTGGGACAGGATACAGTGGTGCAGTTTAATGTTGCCCCCTGCCTGCCCACCACCCCTCCCCACCACTTTGATTCCTGCTCCATCCAGAGTTTAAAACCAACTGTCTGACAGTGGTAGCAGCAGAAATGAGAGAGTCAGTTGAGGACCTGGCTCATTATACACCTGATTCCCTCTAAACCTTTAATTTTACAAATGTTTATAACCTTCTTTTTAATGTTCTTTAATGGTTACACTAATAAAACTATCCTTTGTTCTGCAATTCTGCTGTCTGTTAGCCGTTCCTGGTAATGTAACTCCTTTTTCACAACCTTTTCACTACTTTTACTTCTAGTTAGAACAAGAACTCAGGTGTGGAAATAACTTTCAATGAAGCACTAGATGCACTGTCAAGATTATCATGGAAGCTCTGAAAGAGATGTACATTTAATTCTAATGATGACAGGACTAATGAAATGTGTTTTGATTATTTTTGCCTAGTTATGTTTTTGGTACATAATATATAATATAGTCAATTAATGCACATTCCAGTAAAATTATATTTGCTTTTGCTTCAATCTTAAATAATACAGCCTGAGGCTACTAGTATATTAGTAAAGTTTCTAGTTTCTTTTTAACTGGGGAAAAATGTCTCATAGACAAGTAAGGCTGGAAGGGACCTCAAGAGATCATCTGGTACAATCAGGGATCAAACTTTCAACCTTGATCTAACCAAATGAGCTAAATCTGTTGTGAGAAATAGGATGATGTACCAGAGCAGAGGTCAGCAACATTTTTGAGCAGTGCCAAAAACAACCACAATCTCAACTTGTAAGATGTCGACGTGCCAGGGCAGACAGTTGGGGAGCCAAGAGGGGCCCAATCTTTATTGTGATAGCATAGCCTTAGCCCCTTCCCCTCCATTAGCCCTGAGGCATGTGTGCACCCACCTCTAAGGGCAATCCTTTTCTACTGTGTTCTGGCCTAGGTAAAACTATTTGTTCAGAAGGGGGGGTGGGGGGAGGGTGGACTTTATTTCCCCTTGCCACATGTTGTAACCTGGTTTTAAGGTTAAGGTGAAGGCTGGTGTTGATGATTTTTCAAGGACTTAAAGAGTAGAATACTTAGGCGCCTAAGTGGCTTGCTGGATCTGGCCCCAGAGTACAAGTTTGTAGAACAAGGGAAAAGCACTTCCAGTCTGCCTTCCAGCACAATATATGTATTTTAAAGTGATAGTGCAGGTAGTAATTGAGTGCATCTCTGTTTCTTTCCATCTGGTCCTCAATCCCATTATTAGTAATCTGCAACCTCACAGAGACTGTTCTGTGCTGGGTCTACCATGCTGCAGACATCCTCCTGAGACAGTGTCAACGAGGCAGATTGCTCCTGAGCAGCAAGTCAAGGGTCTGCCTTTTTTAAATGGGAATTACTTTAAACTGTCCCACTTATGTGGAAAGCAACATAGGAGAAACTATGGATCTTTCAGGCTAAACAGTGGAGTTGTCTGCCAAAGGCTTTCTGTCCCTTGCAAACTGCACGGCACTGTGTATGCTATAGAACAGCATTTCATGCATGTTTCTGTCATCCTTCTCAAAATACCCCCCTCTTTTGAGAGAGTCAATCACAGAGGGAGTGCAGCAAGCCAGGAGAATAGTGATGTTTAGTGCCCCATAGTCTTTCAATATTTCCTTCAGTGTGTTGACACCAGGTATGTCCAAAAATGAGAAGAAGGAACAGTCTATGATGATGGTCTGGAAATCAAGTTGTTTAGGGACCAAGTGTAAAGTTGTATCTGCCTGACTGAATCCATTAACATTTGTAGCTTGGTTTTCCTTCTTTAGATGCTCTTTTTCCCTCTTGTCCTGCTTCTTCCTTCTTGCAGCTTCCAGTGTAGGATCTAGCCCTGTCATTCTATAGAGAGACTTCACGAAAAAGTCTTTGTTTGCATAGTAAAGTGGTGCCTCAAAACGGAATATTTTGACCTTTGGAACAGGGGAGAGATTTTCATATTCCCGGTCATTCTCATAAAAGACAGTGCTGGGGATCTGACTCAGCAGGGCAGCATGCGGCCGCTGAGTCCGACCAATGATGGACAGCATGGAAACGGCAACACCAACTAAAAGCCCAACTTCCGTGCTGATTAGGGCAGAGGAGAGCATAGTTACACACCAGACTACAGTGTCCACTTTGTTCAGGTAGTATCGCTGTGGCACGTCTTTGAACTTCCGAAGGGCTCCTCTGAGACTGACTATGATGATGCATGCCAAGACACACTTTTGCAAAGAATAAAACAGTGGTGCTAAGAACAGCAGGACCAGCAGCACTACCATGGCACTAACAACACTTGATACCTGTGTCTCACAGCCTGTAGAAGTTTTGACCAGAGTTTTTGCAAGAGCTGCACTGGTTGCAAAGGAATGGAAAAAAGATGGAATAATGTTGCAGAATGCTATAGCAAACATTTCCTGATTGGCTCTGATCGTATAGGCATATTTCTTGGCAAACATTTCTGATAAGGAGACTGTGAATGCAAAGCTAACGATAGCAAGAGGCACGGCATCTACAGCAACTCGAAACATTAGGTTAAAACTTGGCACCTGGGGAGGAATGAATCCAGTTGGAATTGCACCTGAGACACTGGTTCCATAAACTTCATTCAGTTTCCCATAATGTGAAACCAGTGTGGCCACAACAATAATCACCAACTCTGTCGGAAGTGGGAATTTCAGTTTATGTTTGTATCGATCTCCCACTTCCTTCGCAGCGACCAGCACAACAATGCAAATAGTACTTGTTATTACATCACAGAGATTAGCCT